AGGTTTTTGTAGCATCAACACTGACAACATATCACTTTAAACTATTAAAAATGTTAATAAAAGTCACTTTTTCATAATTTTCAAGGTTCAAAGTTGTTGGAAAAAAAAAGAGTAAGATCTCATAATGCAATTAAAAAGCATAAATAAACAGGGAAAAAATAAAAACATGCATTACAAAATATGGAAAACTGCTTATTTAGAGATGTTTTTTAACAGAATATACAGTATTGCCAAAAGTATAGTTGTGCTGTAAGAATTGTTTGTGATTCCGGCGTGCTTTCAGTTTATTTATGCTTCCAAATTGCATTGTGAGGCCTTGATCTCAGTCTTTTATTTGAAATGATACACTGACTTGGTTGGTCATGTAAAAGACAATAGTACAAGAACCAAGACATGAGCTGCCGGTACTATAGTAGTGTTATCTGTTATTTCAAGTGCTACTAATATACAATAAATGAAAATACTATTTTTTTTTAAATGTAAGAGAATACAAAATAACTTAAATCAACTTTATAGATCACACCCAATGCACAGGTCTTGCTCTACATCTGAAATATCCTAAAAATAAAACGTGTTTAACTGTAAAGCAACATGACTTGCAAACCAACTTCAGTGCAGAAGGACAATTGGGAAAAAATGTATATAAGGGTGTTTGTATAGCATACAAGAGTATGCTATTTTTGTTTCCTACACTCTTAAAATGCTGGGTTAATTTATTATCCAATTGAAAAAAAAATCAAATCAAGCCTGTCCAAGATATTTTCTTGACTTAATTTTTAAAACTTAGTTCATTAGTATATCATAATATATCCAATTCTGAGTGCAATACAGACTAAATCACCCGCTGGGTTACATTTATAGGACCGAATTCAACTCAGTGTTTGGGTTTGTCCATATTTTACCTAATTTGGGTTTGGGCATTTCTTAGAGTCAACTATTGTCATTTATTTTTTATTTTTATACCTAAATCTGCAATCAATGACTTTCTGAGTGAAAATTATTTTAATAATTTTCACAGGTTTAACTCTAAACAATCTTAACTTAATCAGAGTTGTCTCTAAATAGTATTTAGTTGCATATTTGTTTTCCATATCCCTTATATTTTCCTCAAAAAATAATTTTGCTGCATCTTCGAACGACTTAATTATTTATATTTATGTATTTGCATTTTTGGGGCAAAGTTAAAACTTTAAATTAAAACAAAGTTAACTTAATCAACTTGTGTAGGCACTGTCACGGTTTATGGGTCTGTACTTTCTGTATGTTATGTGTACTCTGAACAATCTTTACTTAATCAGATTTGCCTCTAAATAGTAGATTAATTATATTTTAAGTTTTTCTTTAGGTATTTCAAATCGCAAAAATAAGTCCAATTACGCTGATCAATACACTTAAGAAAGGTTTTTGCCTAATGACTTTGCTTTTCACTCTATTGCACAGTAGGCACACAGAATGCTATACATTTTGTTGATATGGAAGTTAATTTTCATTTTTATTTTATTTCAGACTGACTCAAAAACCCGAGAACAAAACAACAGCATCCGGCCAGCTCTGCTTGAATCCACAAAAACAGCAGGGCCAATTACTGCAGAACTGCTGGACAAGGTACATACATTTTCATCAAGTCTCTTGCTTTCTCTGTAATAATAAACTATACTAGATTATATTTGCCACAAATCCAACTGGCACACCTATGCTTGAGATCCCAAGATGTTTAGTAACATTAAGCATCAAAAAATATACTATAAAAATGCTGGATTCATATTTTATGACACTTTTAAACATAATTTAGACAGGTTTCGGTATAAAAACAGCAACTTTTTGATGGTAAACATTGGAACGCTGTAAAAAACAAAATGAAAAGTCATGACAACAAATGTTTTTATGTTACTTTAACTTATAGTGATAAGTTAATCAGGTTTAAACTGCATTTTTGAGTCATACAAAGTTTACTTTATATGTTTAGTCAGTTTGATCGATGTTAGTTGTGACAACTTAATTTGATTCAACTAAAAAAATTAGAGCAACAACAATTTTTACTGTGTAAAATCACTTTTTTTTTATTACTATAGATGTGTCAATTGGATTTGCAGCTAATATTATTGAGTATTTGTTATCATTAACCCAACGGTAACCCAGTGATTGGCCAAATTTGGGTAAAAAAGCTGCATCTTTAGAGTGAAATTTGCTTTCAGTTCTTTTAATAATGTTTATAGCATGTGTCGTTATATTAATCTGAGTGTATTCTCTTCCACTTACGTCAGGTTAAACATAAATAACACCGACTCGCTGAAGATGTCTGTCTGTTGGCAATGAAAAGAGAGCACAGGAGGTCAAGAGTGGGAATTCTGGGGGGAATTCTGCCATGTCACATGACCCAGTACCGGCCAATCAGAGTCCAGGGAGTCTGAGCCAGGGCCTCATGCAGCCGAAGACCTGAAAACACCCGGATCACTGCCAGGATCTGCAACAAACAGATGTTCCCGGTGATCTGGATTAGGATTCGCTCGCTGTACACTGACAAACAAAATGATTCATTAAATTTACTCAGTTTTATAGGGTGTTTGCAAACAGTTTGTATGGGCTGATTTTAAACAAAAAAATTATGATCAACTTAAGTTGTGTTTAAATTCAGATCATATATATTTATTTGCAACCACTTACCTTAAAAAATGTAGTAAATAGTGAAACACTGAATGTATATCATTACGCCACACAGTATTTAAAGAACTGTATTTAAATAAGCTTATTTATTGTTTATTATACTGTTTGTTACACGAAAAAACTATTTTGATGTTATATTTTGAGGGATTCATTAACCCATCTGAACATGTTATGAAATTTTTTATGACAATTTTTTTAACAATGTTATTTTGTACTGTTTTGTAATAAATTGCATAAAACCAAATTTCAAGGTATTCTGCATATTTATTTTTACATTATAATAATGTAATAAATACCTAATATTTTCCTCATTTGAGGTTTGGGGGGGTGGTCCCAAGCATCTTGGGTGAAAGTGAAAACCGGGAGTTGTTACGGACAAAAGTAAAGACCCCTTATAATATCTCTGGCGGCTCCAAAACTGCGTAGGCCCTTAGAATCATCCAAACTTCCCCACCTAGCATTGCCCCTGGGTGTGTGAGATTACCTTTTTATGCTAACGTTACTGTGCGTTCTGATCAGCTGACCTAATCAGCGGGCTTCAGCTGATGCCTGTTTTGCAGCTATATAAACCAGGAATGTCCAAACTCATTCAGTCCTGGAGGGCTGGTGTCCTGTATATTTTAGTTCCAACCCCAATTCAACACCTGAACCAACAAATCAAGCTCTTTTTAAGGATAGAAAGTTCTAGGTAGGTGTGAAAGTTGGAGCCAACTATGCAGGACACCAGCCCACCACGAGTTTGGGCATAAACAGTCTAGTTACACTGCTAGCTATCAGTCCATTGTTGTTTTCATGTTCTTTTCTGAGTAATGTCCAGGTTTTTTCTATAGTCTAGACCAGGGGTGGGCAAACTCGGTCCTGGAGGGCCGGTGTCCTGCATAGTTTAGCTGCAACACTAATCAAACACACCTGAACATGCTAATCAGAGTCTTCAAGATCTCTAGAAATCTATAAGCAGCTGTGTGTGATTAGAGTAGGAGCTAAACTGTGCAGGACACCAGCCCTCCAGGACCGAGTTTGCCCACCCCTGGTCTAGACTGTTCATTTGGACCTATGGAAGCTCTCTGTTTCTGGACATACTGCTAAGTCTCTCTATCCTTTTTGAGCACTTTAAGACTTGTTATCACTGTTGCACTTCATTAAACTCTTCTTAACTCGCAGCTGGATTCTCCCTGTTTCTCATGACAGGGACAACATTTGCCAGCATTTTAACAGTGATTTCTTAATTATGAATTATTGCATAGGAACTCAGCAGCACTGAGCAGGTTTTAAACATTGGTGGAGTTTTATTTCTGTAGATGTTGAGCTCCATCTACTGGCCATGTACGAAAATAAAATTATGCTTCAACGCCTATGAAAGCACGCTTCAAAGTCTAAAGAATGAAAAAAAAAATCTTTAGAGACATTTATTTAAGGGTTTTGTTCCCGCTAGACATTTCTGGCCTCCAGTAGAGAACTTTAACCACTAAGCCAATCCTTTATGAGAAGTCTTTTGTGCAGTTAATCTTCTGCATAGAGCTTTTTTTCATGAGGGAATGAAAAAACAATGAATTCATTCATTAGTGTCAGCGTTAGTTATTTTTTTATATGAAGTGTTTACAGAGTAACACTAAAACTTGGTTACGCCATAATAATTCACTTTATTTATTGTCACTTTATACTGGTAAACAGCATCATGCATGGAGGACATAAACTTGACTGAAGGGTGTGTGTGGCAGTAAATATGTGTGTGTTTACCTTGTATTTTTCACAATGTGTGGACCAAATGTCCCCCGAAGTATAGCAAAACCAGTACATTTTGATCTTCTATGAACATTGTTTTTTTTTGGTCCTCATAAGGAAAACGGCAAATAAATACATATTATTCACCTCATTTATTGTCAATACTGTGGTAAATGGCGTCATGCATTGAAGACATAAACTTGACTGAAGGGTGTGTGTGGCATTAAATATGTGTGTTTACCTTGTATTTCTCACATTGTGTGGACCAAATGTCCCCCGAAGTATAGCAAAACCAGTACATTTTGATCTTCTATGAACATTGTTTTTTTTTTGGTCCTCATAAGGAAAACGGCAAATAAATACATATTATTCACCTCATTTATTGTCAATACTGTGGTAAATGGCGTCATGCATTGAAGACATAAACTTGACTGAAGGGTGTGTGTGGCAGTAAATATGTGTGTTTACCTTGTATTTCTCACATTGTGTGGACCAAATGTCCCCACAAGTATAGCAAAACCAGTACGTTTATATCTTCTATGAACATTTTTTTGGTCCACATAAGAAAAACGGCTAATAAATTACACAAATGAAGTATGGTTAGTACTATAAATTCACTTCAATTATTGTCACTTTGTACTGTGGTAAACGCCATCATGCACTGAAGACATAATTGAAGGGTGTGTGTGGCAGTAAATATGTGTGTGTTTACCTTAAATTTCGCACAGTGTGTGGACCAAATGTCCCCACAAGTATAGTAAAACCAGTACATTTTAATCTTCTTTAGATATTGAACCCCATGAGGAAAACGGCTAATGCAGGGTTTTTCAAAGTCTAAGACAGTGGGCCTCCCTTTTGACACAACTTATCCATTGGCGCCCCCCTCCTCCCAAACACGCACGCACGCACGCACACACACACACACACACACACACACACACACACACACACACACACGCACTTGACACACACACATATATATATATACAGTATATATAAAGACACAGACAGATGCCAGACTTTTAACTCACTTTTATCATCATTTGCATTAAAGTGCAATTATTTACAGAGTAATAACAAGTATTTTAATATAACGTTTTTAAAACTAGGATGATGGTTCAATATGAATAGAACAGTTCCAAGAACTGTCCATCCCAGTCAAAACAGTGGAAGTTTAGCGGGTCTCATGCTGTCATTAGCCAAAATATTTTGACAAACCACACATAAAGGTTGTGGTTCATCAGCTGGTCCTGTCCACGTAAATCCTAAACTCAAATACTGATCATCATATCGTTGTCTTTTGGGTTTAAGCCCTGAACTTGAAGGCTTTTGTGACGAGGGGGCGTGGCCGAGCGCCGTGGGAACGGAGTGAGGCCACCGCGTAAAGGCTGATTTATACTTGTGCGTCAAAAGTCGGCGTATGCTACGGCGCTGACGCATAGCCCTTCGCCGTGGCCACCGCCGTCACTGACGTGCACTTCTCAAAAAATGTAACTACACGTCGCAACGACGCGTAGCGTAAGCTCTGTGATTGGTCGGCTTGGTAGCGCTGACGAGTCTGGGCGGGACCGAGAGCCGCGCGAGCGATTGTTTACAAGTGTGAAGTCCCGTGAAAGAGCTCCGGATGGAAAGTTTTGTTTTGTGTTTACCTCATAGTTAAAGTTGTTGCACGTCCGCCGGTTCCTGCCTCAAAATGAGCGAGTTTGAGCCACTTGTACATCCCGGAAGTGTTTAGGAAAGGCAAAAAAGTAGCGAAGAAACTCGACACAGAGGAACATTTACACCTCACTGCCAACTAGCGTTTCAGAACTGTTAATGCAGACCGACAGAGACAGCGCGCAGAAGTATAAATGCACAGCCACGCGCGTTGCCTGCGCCGTGGGTTACGCCGGTCACCTGACGCAGAAGTATAAATCAGGCTTAAGTGGATACACCTGCGGTTCGCACCTGCCTCAGATCCCACAGAAGGAGCTCTGGATCATAAAAGGAGAAACAAAGGCAGAGGAAGCCGAGAGAGGACCGGACCCGGACATATTTTACTTTTGCTTTCAGTTTGACGGCAGTCTCCGTGAGGATCTGTTGTCCGTTTGTTTTGGTTTAGACGGAGCTGCCGTCACTGTCATTAATAAATCACTTTAAAACTGCTTCGGTTCTCCGCCTCCTTCTTCCCGGCGGCCAAAGGTTCGTGAACTTCATTACAGCTTTGAATCGGGGGGTCTCAGAAACCGACCCATTGTATTAGCAGGCATATACCTGTATTGGCGGGCTTGCCAAACAGAAGCGAATTCACAGCTATGGCCTTCTGGGTAAAAAAGGTTTTCTTATATTTGACGTATTATTTTTATTTTTTTTTTGCTTTGTTTAATTAAAACGTTTAAATATAATAAAAAATACATATAATAATTAAACTTAATAATTATATTTTTATTATATTATATTTTTCCCGCGCCTCCCCTGACATGCTCTGGCGCCCCCCAGGGGAGGCGCGCCTCACACTTTGAAAACCCCTGGGCTAATGAATCCATAGTTCACTTTATTTATTGTCACTAATATGTACCATCACGCACTGAAGACATAAATTTACTGAAGGGTGTGTGTGGCAGTAATTATGTGTGTGTTTTACCTTGAATTTCTTAACTTGTGCGGACCAAATGTCCCCACAAGTATAGCAAAACCAGTACACTTTGATCTTCTATGGACATTTTTGGTCCCTATGAAGAAAATTGCTAATAAATCAAACAACGTATAGTTAGAGTATAGTATGAGTATAATATTTGAGTATATGTAAAAATGCTAATTGTTTCTAGAAAGGGGTGGGTTTAAGGGTAGGGGGATAGAATACAGTTTGCACAGTATATACATCATAACGTTCATGGGAAGTTCCCATAAAGATAGCTTTGCAAGTGAATGTGTGTGTGTGTTTATGTGTGTGAGAGAGAGAGAGTGTCAGAGTGTGTGCGTGTATGCGAGTGAAACTGCGTGTGTGCCTGTGTGTGTGTTCTTTCACTCTTCTCAAGGGAAATCAGAGCTCTTCTTGGGCTTTAACTAAGAGCGAGTGAAGAGGAGAAGAACAGCTCCTCAAATTTCCACACTGTCAGCCAGTTAATGCTTTGT